TTCCTAAACCCACCACACGCACCACGTGTGGCGGGAAGCAAATTTAGAACAGGTGCTCCCCAAACAGCAGTAATCAGGGCCACCACATGCCTCCCGCTATGGTGAAATGCAAATTTCCGCNNGCGGTGAAGCAACCTACTACACGCAGGGTCGCGGGATCAGCACCGGAGTGTCTGCCCATGCGGCTGGGAGGCTCACCTGGAAATCCACGACTGGCAGGTTCAGCGGACACGTCCTGCTAACATTGGGGGCTGGGAGTTGGGAGTGCCAGAAACGTGCACATCTCCCACATTGAAGCTGCAGACAAAAGCCGAGCCCAGACCAGATCTTGACCGGACAGCTCAAGGCCGAAGGCATGTAGTCTTCAGGGTCTCCTGCAGGCGTACCCTGCCACCCCTGATCCCGAAAAGCAACCAAACTTTTCCAACCCCAAACCTGCAGGATCCACCCTGTTCTTTCTTGTGCAAGACGCGCTGTCGTCCTCGGCCATGGTGCGAAAACGCGCCCGGAAACAGCACCCTACTGCAGTGCACGAACTGTCCCGGTCCCGGTTCTCAGCTCATGAACACCTCAAAACCTGAATGCGACACGATCGGAACAGAGCGGGAAGTGAGGCAAAGAAGAATCCGCACCGCTAGTCCCTACGCCTACGCTGTTAGTAGGGGCTTCCAAGACTTCCAAGTAGTGATCCTGGCCTTTTGGTTTGAGGTGCTTGGACGTTGGCATCCGACAGTCAGGCCGACTCGTGCTGCACTGTCATTCCGCGCAGAGACGGGATTCGGTGCAGGAGGTGATGACAAGCTGGCAGTGGCAGCAGCTCAGTGCTGCTTTCTTACCGTGTCGTTGCGAACACATTCCCCTCAACGCATCATTTTTGACCCCTGCAAGCATCCTTTTTGCACAGACTTGTGCATGCCTGGATCTCAGAGTCTCAGAGCTGCTCGTGACAGGCATCCTAAATCGGCCTCTGACGTTCGACTTCCAGGTCTGAGGCGTTCCCGAGAAAGGGTTTTTGAACGAAAGCATAGGGACCCGCTTGGCAAGGACCCCTGAAAAGGGGGAAAATTACTCCGAGAGAAGTGCTGTTGCATACAAATCATCGGGAACATCCGTTCAGACTCAACCCTACGAGCTCTTTCGGCACAGGCTCTCAGCTTTGGTGTTGAAGCAGGAGGCTGGAGGCGCTTCAACTTCAGGAGCAACAGAAGGTTTTGGGCGCATGCTGACCCTGGCTCACTGAGACACCTGTGCGTCTTGAAGGATCGTCTGTGCTGGGCCTGCCGGACTCGGTGCTTCTCTGAAACCGGCCGCGTAAGATTGTGCTTAAACGGTGTTGCAACGGCGGCCCCTTTCCGGACCGCTCGGTGCGGTGGACGGCAGGAAACGGCCTTCCAGATCTTCAAACCGGTGCCCCGCGTGTCCGGTGCGAAGAAAGCCAGGCCAAGCGGAAGCCAGCCTGCTTCAAAGCTTTGCAACATCTCGGCCTTTGGAGCTCAGCCCTGAGATCTGCACCTGGCACACAGCTGCCATCCAAGCTGCTAAGCCAAATTAAGCCACACAGCTCTTCGGCATTTAGAGCAAGAAATCCAGAACAAGTGCAGACGGGCAACGTCGCCACCCAACTCAAGCACGACTTCTCTTGCGGCGATTTCTTTTCTAGCTCTTTGTCATACACGCACGTCCCCCTGCTTGCGCGGCTCTGTTGTAGGCTGCTGCCGGTGGCAATGGGTGCACTGGCGTGTGGCAAAGCTTCCCATCATCCCCGACAGTGTGGACTGAGGGGATTCCAAGGTCTCCACATGACCTGCACTTCAGGTCACTGTGACGCCCATCAATCTGTTGTCCTGGTGAAGACATATCTCAGGTGAGCATGTGTTGGAGCAAGCCGTGATGCAGGAGTGCAGTGAACCGGCTCTTTCACACCGTCTTCACTTCCCCCCAAAACCGTCAAAAAACTTCATGCTTGCCCTACCCTATTCTGCCTAGACTCCAAGGCGTGGCTGCCTTTCTTGGCATAGCGGCTTAGCTGCCGTTCATGGTGCTCCGCAGACCTGTGAGTCTGCTTTGTCAACACGCTTCGACAGAAGCAAACCCAACTGCACTGCCAGCACGGTCTCCTGTGCTCGAGACCTGGGTCTCAAGATCGGCTTCCTAAAGCTGAATGGACTGCCAACACCTGACAAGCGGCGGCCTGACCTGCTGAGTCCGGGTCTTCGCCACTCTCCCGACAAGGATCTGAGTTTGCAACCCTGGCATCTTACAGTGGTCCTGAACATTCCAAGTACTGATCTCGGCCTTTAGACTTGAAATGCCTAGACGTTGGCATCCGACAGTCAGGCCGACTCGTGCTGCACTACACTATTTTTCCACACAGAGACTGGATTTTGTGCATGAGGTGATGACAAGAAACAGACCGCTGCCTGCTGGCAGCAGCTCAGTGCTGCGGTCCTAACGTGTCGTTGCGAACACATGCCCCTCAACGCATGAGTTTTTGGGATCTGTGACATCGTCAGTGCCGTCCCTGATGTCATCGTCGTGGTCGATGCCTCGTGGGACACCGCAGTGGAGAAGATCAAGTGGATGTACAACGATGCGGAGTTCTGCAGACTGGAGGTGTTGAGGACAGCCCGGTTCGTGTCGATCCCCTTCAGTGCCACAACCCTCAGCCCTCGCAACGGCCCTGCAGCCCTGGATTTGGCAATGGCATCTCTACATGTTCGCACGGGCTCCCAGGCGCCGACGCAGCAGTCCGGGGTGGGTTCCTTCAGCCCCTTCTTCCTGCAAGCCCAGACCTCCTGTCAGCGCTGTCCTCTGAACGCCATCAATGTGGTCTATGACGATACTTCCGGGATTGCTTATACTCCTCTTTGCAGCACCACCACCACCACAACCACCACCACGACGCAAGATGCGGAGGCGTCTAAGGCCAGCTATTCCTTGCCTGGTGGCTTCCTGTGGGGCCTGGTCACCATCGGATTTCTCACTCCGACCTTCCTTGCCAACTGATGACCTACACGATTTTTTTGGGAGTGCGCCTCCATGACCTGGGGCGTCTGATCGAAGTAGGGGGAGAGATTAGGATGGCATCTCGTCATCCTTTTGCATGGCGCACTCCCGCAATTTTGCGTCGAATACTTCCCGGCAGCAGCCTAGGGTTTACCGACAGACGCGATACAAAGTACTCGCACGTGAGGGGAACATGTCCAACCACGCCATGTGCATGAGTCTTGCTACAGGGGCAACACTGTGAGGTGCTCGAATTCTGAAAGGTTACTTTACAAGCTTCAAGCTGATATCTGAAACAGTGCTGTCGCTCTAGCATGCCGCCGCTTGCACCGACAGCGTGTGCAATTACTGCACCGCATGCGATTTTAACCTTGCTTGTCCGAACCACGCCGCATGCTACGAGTGTGAGTTAA